AGATAATCACCTTAATTTATTATTGCCTATTAAAAATCACAACTTCCCCCACATTAGAATTTCCTTCTGTGACGGTGGTGCGTACAAACATACAAATCAACATATACAAGGAGGCGGCCCGCGTGAGGGAGCAATCCTCCTCCTCACGCCCCAGCCAATTGACCACCGCAGACCACTGCAGCCGGGGCTGCGGAGTAAGCGCAATGAGGCACCGCGACCTCGGCCCAGAGCAGGAAAAGGAACGGGGTGTTTTTAGTCAGCAAGAGTCTGACACTCCCTCCCGCCCGGCCCAGGGCGGGAGAAGTCATTCGATGATTTTCCCCTCCCAAAAAAAAAGGATACACAAGCTACTTTGACCAAAACAATTTATGGATCACACAGAGTGTGCGGAATCCGCGACACGTTGCACAGCTACTGCGTCAACCGTGCATTCAAAATCTTATGGTTGGCGATGTGTGCAATGACACCAGAGAAGTAAGAAGAGCGTTATCACCTTTCCAAGACGGCTGAAATTCTATTAACTTAATCCTTTTTAAGATGATTAAAAAGATATGCAACATATTTTAACGTTGTCAAGGGCGATTTTCGTTTTATTTTATTACAACTAAACGTTAATTTTCTTCAGTCTACAAGTAATAAATGCATTAGTCGTCGTCAGCGCTAACACGCTGTCTCTGCGAGTAACGCTATTACGCCGTGACATCCCAAGAACTAATTAAATGCTAAGCTATTGAATTACACGTGGGATTCACAATAAATGTCAAAATGTTCGTCGTGGTGGCCCGGAGGTTAAGGGGGCGCCTTGAGCGTACGGCGCGTAGCGTTCCGCACACGCCTCAAATAGCCAATAGACCGCCACAGTCGGGGTCCTATAGGGCTGATGTTCAGCCTGGCTTGCGGGGTAAGCGCAATGAGGCACCGCGGCCCAGAGCAGGAGAAGGAGCGGCGGGGTTTTGAGTCAGGAAGAGTCTGACACTTCCTCCCGCACTACCCTGGGCGGAAGAAGTCATTTGATGATTTTACCCTCACAAAAACAAAACCTCCTTCTTCTCATGCAAAACCTGGCAAGAACCAATGTGACTTTTTCCGAGTTGTGTGTACTTTATATGATTATCTAGACATCACTGACATATGGGGAAGGAAAACGTTGTCAGGAAACTTGGACTAATAATTTCTTATAATCATTATAAGTTTGAAATCGCCAATCCGCCTTGAGCAAGCGTTGTGGTTAATGCTCAAGCTTTCTCTGCGTGAAAAGAGGCCTTTGCTCAACAGTGGGCACCTATACGCTGTTGATGATGTTTAAATGTTAAACTGATAATATAAGTTAGGGAGATCCATGCTTGTGGTGAGAAATCTCAGACAAACGCAGAAAAAAGAAATATTTTCCACATACTAATGCTAACATTTTTTTTTCAAAGATACACAGAAAGTAATCAAGATTAATGTACTCAATACTACAATATTTTACGGAACGTCCTATTTCTTTTTTTGGTACAAAAGGCTTGGGGCAGAGCGGCTTGATTTATTTGGCATCAAATATTTTGTATGTTAGTATTTTGTATTGGGTATGTAATATCAGTCTGTACAAGTATGAAGGCGTATTTGGTTATATAGTATAGTATGTTTACAAGCCAAGACTATTACTTAGGTATTAACAACTTTTATTTCAGTGCTGTAAAAAAGAAGTTATGTACATATTTAGTTACGCTATTATAAAGAATGGGAAAGCCATGCTTCGGCTCGGCCACACAGACACAACAGCGTTGTGTTTCGCCATGTGAGTGAGGTTACCGAAGTCCCAATCTTTTCGCTCCGCCAATCTTTAATCCAACAAATCCCTAATCCCCAAAAAGTCAGCAACGCACTCGTAACTACTCCGTTGTTGTTGTTGGGTGTCCATAGGTGCTGCTGATTGCTTACTCCGCCAGGTCTGGCCTGCTCGTTTGCCGACATTTTACATAAAAAAAATCATTGTCTGATATTTTTAATCGATAAACGTAGTAAGTAACAATTTTTATAATTAACAGGTTGTGATTACTGTGATTTCGTAGTTTTGCTTTCCGTTATTGGTGACGGGGGTAACGATATTATTATGAAAAGAATAATTTGAGACAATAATCCCAATATTTTATCAAATATTAAGGGAGAAGTTGGAAAAGTTTTTTAAAGTTTTTATTATAAAATATAAAATGTGCTTATTTTCACGTTTTTATTACAGTAACTTTACCTCGGATAGGCTATCCGAATGTTCTCTCCAAAAATCCTTTTTATACATATAAATAATTCTCAAATTGATGGATGGTACTCTCGAGTAATTTATTTATTCAATCCATAGAATTTTTTCATTGAAACGTTTAACGTCAATGAACTCTCTTATATTCAGATTCAATTGGTTCCGTCTATCAAAAAAATCGCATTCAGTACATTGACCCGCCTCCCATTCCTTGAATACTTATCAAACATTAATGTATTAAATTGATTCCAGATTTTAGAGCAGAGATTATGAATTTAAAAAGCTTTTGATCGATGATATAAATTGTGCCGATAATTCCGAGAAGTAGTAGGGCAATGAAAAGTATTTTTCTATTGCTATTTCCAGATGGTGTTGGCAAGCGTGCAGTTCATTTAAAATTTAAGATTTAATTTTTAAATTTAGAATTGGATCGAATTTACAGACAATAGACATCCGTGTGTTCAAATAATAACTCTACATTTTATTTCTTCAAGGGCTGATTTTTCAATGGTTAGATAGAAGTTACCTAGGGAATATAACTATGATGCTGTCGCATCACAATGTTTATTTAAGACAGAGACAGCAACCATTTTATTCATCAGATAACATTTATTTTATCCTACTACTGAATCAATTTTCAGTAGTCAGCCATAATAGTATAGTGGCATTATAACCTCGCAATTTTAGACCATTTCAACATGCAAGCAAGTAGGTAGGTCTCGTTTGTTGTCACAAGGACAATTAAAATATTTCTTTTTTCCTATGGAGCTACTATACTGGAGCATGCTTTTGTTTCCTCTACATCCGTTGATTATTAAAGCTACTTAGTACCGATTCCAGAAATAAACCTGAATTTGACTTGAAATTTCACCTCAACTATTTTCTTGCCTAAGGCTCTGCGACGATTGAATCAAATAGCTAGTTATAAGATCAATAATAATTTCAAATATGTATGAACATGATATAAGTTAGCAAACTTCGATCTCAAAGTACTTAGGTACTACTAACTAATATTACCTTTTAAGCGAATTGGTAACTTACATCCCTTCAGACTCATGAATACTATTTTCGTCTTAAGCCAGGTACTTACCGCGTATCGACTATATGAGTTTATGTTTAAATCAATAAACTTAGTTGTTAGTTAGCTTTCAACAGAAATAGATGAGAAGATCTAAAATATTTTAATACTTGCCTCTCAAAAGCTTAAAGAAAACCAAAATTCTTAAGACTTTCGTTATTTTGCAATTTATTTTACAAGGATCAACTAGGTATAAGGATTATACTAAAATAACCTTCACTTAAATCTAAGCCACTAACTTTAATAAGTAAAATACGCAGTCACGGGTCGTTAAACATAATATTTTAAATACTCTACTCCGACCAAAAATTATAGGGATCCCTAAAAACTTTAACCCATCCCGCTATTTTTCGTAAATAATGTTTCAATTAATAGCACATATTTACGCTATTAAATGCTCTTAACATTTTAGTATGGACATCTTACCCCTGCCCAAAAGCAGTTAGGTCCTATAGACAAAGGGTTGCTTAATTACAATCAATTTGATTTTATGCTATTTTAAATTGACATTGTGGAGGGTGGCGACCATTCGTTCCTTTATTAATAGGCTGATTTAATTTGAGACTTTTGTAATTAGTAGGCAGCTGTTGACTGCTAATTTCAGATGTTATTAATGACTGGCATATTGATGAGAATACAATGGATTAACGTAACGGTATGTGATTAATGATTCTGTTTGATACAACCCTTCTGTCGGTTACATAACTCTGAAATTGCCAATGATTTGTTCCTGACAGCCTTTTCCATCATGCTAGGGTTGGTCAAGAGAAATATTGGATCGCGGCTCCAACCTGGACCACGAAAACGAACGGGGTGATTTTTAGTCAATTAGAGTCTGACAAACTAAAAAAATCAATTCAGGCCAAGATAATACGATGATTTTCCCCTCAAATAAAAGCATCCTCTATCATTTCAGATTTACTAAAATAATGCAGAGTAAAACACCATGTACACAGAAATGGATTATTTTAATAAGTAGGTACGAAGAGATTGAGAGTAACGCTATGCTTATTACAACTTGCGACTTTTTAATTTGATTTATAGTTTTTTTTTCATAAGATAATTCGTCATTATATTACGTCAACACCCCATAAAATATTACGTAACTAAAGAAACATATGGAATAAAGTTAATTCGATTCTCAACCGTGTCTTTCTATCAGCCTTCTCCACCATTTATTATACCATCAACTGAACCTTGTAACTTTAGAAGTACTCCCAAGAGTTTGCTACCAAAAGACATTCGCCACTAAAACGAGTCCCCAAACGAAAATAAAAATAAAGCAGGGTATCAAGTGACCCCACTAATTATTCTGAACAACTTCTCAGGACTTTTGCTTCGTGCTTCAATAAATGATTATTTGCAAACCCAAACGGTTTTAGAAAACATTAGAAATAACCTCATACCTAAATATTTGGATGCACTAAATTCCAGCTGTGCCTTTCTACTAATTGTTATTTCTGAACGTGGAACATTATTGCGATTGCTTTACAAATACACATTATGCAATCATAACATTTCCGACAATATCCACTGCGGTTAGAACAACAGCTTAACAGTTCATTTTCGTATGTATTACCCGAGAGCGAATAACTAAACTTGTTTATTTTGAAAACATGTTTTCTTACGACGTAGAAGTAATACAAAAGCCACACATGCCCAATATACGTTATCATTCCAACTTACCTCATTTGGCCCGATTGTTGAACGTTTCAGAAGCTTCTGTCTCTTGCGCTCCGTTGTAGTTAACTTTGATATCAAACAAGTACTTAATATCGACAACGCTATACTTGGTACGAGTTTCAATATTACACTATAAATCCACATTATTGCTGTTACTAATTTTACGTTTCTCGACATTTCTAGAACATAAACGGTCCGATTGTCAGGCAGGGCGAGATCTTCAGCAAATTCTGAATTGTTATGGGGAGTCACTTCACTGGGCACTATATTCATCGCGAAATAAATAGGAAGACACAAAAATGGGCATATCACATAGGCGCTTACGATAGCGAAAGTTGTATTTTTCTTATTACACCAAGTGCTGTTCCGCTGGGGAAATGCGATCGCGACGTATCTCCACACAGCCAGAGTCACCGCTAACCAAATTGAAATGGTATGAAACGTTTGGCTGAATATTGAGTGGAAATACACGAAAACCGTCCAAGTGTATGTATTCTTGTTAACTTGAGGTCCTATTTTGATGTTCATATGTAGCGCGTAGGGAATGTACTCCAACATGACTAGAAGGTCTGCGACGGCGAGGCCAGTAAGGATGGAGTTGGTGGGGCTGGTCATCTCGCGGCGGCTTAGCACCGCGATGTTGATGGAGTTGGTGGCCGAGCCGACGATGCATATCACCAGCGCGATGTAGCCGTGCAGGCGGCTGTACGCTTTGTAGAAGTTGGTGGCGCCAGGCACGCAGTACGCGTCGGTCGAGTTTGACATGCTCGCGGTGCGCTCGCGACCCACACCGGCTGGTCATCGGCACTGCAGTGTCAGAGGCCTCGTCGCGAACTACTCCAACTACCCCGTTACTTACTTCGCCGTCATAACCTGAAACAAATAACATCCAAGTTTAATATGAGTGGCTCAATATAAAATATTAAATCGGTCGTTAGATATTGTGTAACCAGTCTGGAAGACTGATTTTGTGTTACACTTGGAGGTCATTCACGTAATTCAAACGAATTACTGTATAGTTGAAAACAGTTTTCATAGACTTTGTAAATAATGTACAATAGAACCAAGGTCGCGCGGCGTCGCAGTGCTCGGAGACCGAATATTTATCGCGTATAATCTACAAATGATCCAGCACACCTATCACGTGCGTCATGAGTCATTCTAATGTGAATTCTAATAAAAATGTTTATGGGACAGCTTCAACGCTATGAACTGGAAATAGCGAAGATTTATTTTCAAAAGTCGAACTGCATTCGCAGATACTTATAAACGTTTTATTTCACCAAATACCTGGGTTATCAGCCAGAGTGTGAAATATTGAATAAATTAAAATGTATGAAGTCCTTTATTACAGAACGTAGCTAAAACATTTTGTTACATTCACCGTTCACAATTACCTTACGTATTTGGTGATATATCGAATTGCCAGCATTTATTTGTGCAGAAAACAGCGACAGAATTTAATTTATTTGGTACACAGTCGTGTATAAATTAACTTCAATACGTTTATCACGTTTGTATACTGGTATAGGTAACGCAAATGTATCTAATTAAAAGGATCATTGGTCTTAATCGATTTAGTCATTACGGTGATCGGATAACTACAGTATTATATAGAATTGGTTGATTATAACCATCCCTTTACCTTAATTGGTTAATAATGGTCTTTGTATCAAGTTATTGTGCCTTGGGGCTGGGCAAGCTAGCTACTAGGGAGATCTGCAATTCATTTGAATGTGATCTACATAATTTTCGGCGTTAGGTAGAAACTTGAATACATATCAATCTGGCGATGAACCCTTCATGCATTATTGAACAATGGATGGTAAATAATAAGTTTTACAAAGGTACAGTCTGCGTTGTTTTGTGTAACAAAGCTGTGATTGAATAATAATTACTAGAAATGGTAAGAAACTTAACTGACATTTTCATTGAGTGAGGCATTAAGAATATTTCTATATCTTTTTATCATAAGCCAGTTTCTTAATACCAGTAAGCCATGAGTATCCATAAAAAGTAAAGAGTTTAGTTAACAATATCTAATTGAGTCCACTACTTTTATTAACTCCAAATTTTCTAACATATTAACGTAAGCGACGTTGAAGACCTTTAAAATAAAGTAGATAAAAACCTTTAAGAAATAAAAGATCATAAACTGATAGCCGGTAAAATGATAGATGCAGAGGATCCGGAGGCGAAGGTTCGCGCGTCTACTGTTTGCGCGCGTCGCCGTGGCGAAAATCCTCTACCGCGCCAAATTAGTCTAGTCCGTGGGGGAATAAGCTCCGGCGCGATCTCATGGCAGAGTGGAAGCAACGTCTATCGCTACCGAAGGCCGGGTACGCTGTTATAGCAGCGGCATACCAATTTTTGAGGAGTGGCTGAAATAAAGGAGACGGAGAAACTTTTCAGGCGACTACCACAGATGATACATTCTAGAAGTTTCTTTGTTTTTTACATAATGTACAAGTGTTGTATGTAAGTGTTCTGGTTATTTGTTGAGACCATAAAACATTTTATTTTGAACCTACTGTATTTTAAAATAAGTATAGCACAAAGTTACTTGCTATATTTGGGAAATATGTAGAAAATATCGTACAAAAGTTTGTTCATCATTTTCTAAATTAGCGATTTTGTGGATATTATGTCAAATAAATTAACCATCAATTAAAAAACAGATAGTATGTCTCGTGAAGCTCTCCAAGCTTGTAATTATGAGCCCCTTTTGTAACTTGAAACTAGTTGAGTTCGCTCGTTAATCAGCTATATGGGTATGTTGACATAATTTAATCTTACAGTGTATGAAATTATGTTTAATCGTTTATAAATTTAATTACATTCATAGGAATAATTAGTCCCGTCAGAGCACTGAAAAGATCTTAGTCGATACGTCTCAGATACCCAAGCAGACTTGTAAAACATACTAAGTTATCGTGATAAATAAAAGAAGATAAAATTCTCTTCCGTCGAAGATTATTTATTTTTCTTCCTTTCGAAATTTATGTTCATATTGTTCATTGCTTCAAGTTCTAAGGTATGATTCAATGAAGTTAACGGCTGCTACTCGAACTAATTGTCAATTAATATTAATATCTGTTACTTCAGGTTATTGGTACTTACACCCGTAGGACTCTCATATTAGGTACGTGCCGATGATATTAATGACACTTTAAGTGAAATGGGTCTTACTGAAAATACGATTTTAAGTCAATAAATAGTCAGTTTCTCAGTAATTTGAATGGTTGCCTAAATCATTCCTTAGCAATTTTGTTCGAAAAGAAATATTAATATCGTAAAGTGAAGTAAATAAAATTGTCAAATGCAACATGTTACTAATATTGTGCATGCGAAAGTTTGTAAGTATGGGGATAGATGTTTTTTTTTTGTGAGGGGAAAATCATCAAATTACTTCTCCCGCCTAGGGCCGGCCGGGAGGGAGTGTTAGACTCTTACTGACTAAAAACCTCCCTGTTTCTTGTCCTGCTCTGGGCCGAGGTTGCGGTGCCTCATTGCGCTTACCCCGCAACCCTGGCTGAAAATCAACTCTATAGGGCCCCGTCTGTGGTGGTCTATTGGCTCTTTGTGGCGCGCGGAACGAATTGCGCCATACGCTCGGGTCTGGAGAGATGGGTGGATGGATAACAAACATCCATTACATATAATCATCCTTTACATACAATCTCCTAAGCGTACGAAATATATAATGAAATTTGACACCTATAAGTTCTCATTGTAGTCAGCAATAAGAGTTTGGCTCGTTTTATCATAACATGTATTTTCAATGCTATACGAACTAAACAAGAATGCTTCTAGAAACACATGTATGTATACATAGCTAAACCAATTTATCTTTAAATGTTTTTGATATAATAAAATTGAGAGATTGACGTATAAAATACCACTAGAAAGTAGCCAAGTCAGTAAAACAGATTTTTCACTGCGATTTATTGCTAATAAAATTCTGAAATCTGGTGTGGATCTAATAGTCTGGATGGGAAGATCGTTATCGCTTATTTTATATTGGAAGTTAATAATATTAACAAATTAAGTACCTAATAGTACCAAAATGGTGACTGTTGTATGGCAGCTTTTACTCTAAAATATTTATAACTAGCCGCTCGCCTTAGGTTTGCACGGGTAGTCAACCGGTAACAACCCGATCACCTATCTAAAATTATCTTTCAAAAGAACCTTCTCCTGACGACAATAACAAAAAAAATAATAGGCAAGATTGATCTTGTTATTTGAGTACGCTCTACATACGCTCTAATCTATACGCTCACCAAAATTGTTTGCGATTCACACTTTAATTATAGATATTTTGTTTTTAGTATTCGAATTTGTTGTTATAGTAGACAATATCGTTGGTTCAAATTTCATTTCCCTATGCACCACGGTTTATATCCACAGCTTAACGACAGACAGGCAGACAGACGGACGGATCTTGGTAAGTAAATACGTAATAGAAGAGATAGGTCATAGAGAAACCCTTCGGGTTTGGAATCTTAATAATAGTAACAGTTTAAATCACTTTATGGTTAATTTAATAGTAATAATTTTGTCATCATCAACCTCTAAGGCCGTCTTTTCAGAAAAAAGAACTTCTGTTTTTCCAAAAAAATACTCAATAAATAACAGATCAACTAAAACTTCCCAATTGTATCTCTATTAAGCGAATTTATAGATACATTACCAATATACCTATATCATAATCATCATCATCATCATTATCTTCATCTTCATCATCATCATCATCATCATCAGCTACAGTACGTCTACAGCTGAAAATAACCGACCTCAATAGATCACTCATTGACACTAGCCCTCTCGATTAACATTTTTTTCAAATACCATATTGTAGTATATAGTATTTGAAAATAATGTTATTGAGCAGCCTGTGATGTATTATCATCACAAATTAGTGATTGAAACATTCATGAACATAACTAAATAACTAAGTAACCCCGATCACGTATTGAACACATTTTTACGTAAGAAGGCATCACGATACGCGGGACGAAATATTACAAATATCAGTCAGGTAATACGTGGATCCGAGAGACTCACACGTAGAAAATTCTTATAGGTTTTTGTACCAATATTTATTTTATATTTTAAAAACAACGTTTCCCCACACTAGGATTTTCTTGTGTGTTGTGGATGCGGTTACAAACATACAATATCACATGCACATGACACCCAAACCCGAAACAACAATTTGTGGATCACACAAAGAGTTGTTCCGTGCGGGAATCGAACCCGCGATACGTTGCAACGCAGCCAATTGCCCAGCCACCGCACCAACCGTGCTGTAAAGAATCTAGCTAATAAGTTATAAATAAATATACATAATATCCTGTTAATATCATATGTTCACTTACTGCAAAGCCACACAAAAATACGTAGGTAATCATTTATACTGACTGTGTTTGTAAGCGCATTACTCACAAAAGACTGGACCCATTTTGCTATTTCTTTTATTTCTGCTTTGTTTGTTATTGTCAGGACAGTTCCTGTGAGGTTCCTGTGAGAAACGTGGCTGGAAGGTTAAAGCACATGCAAGAAGATGTAGATTCAAAAACTGATAAGTACCGATATATATTTTTTCGAGTTACATTTCTGTACTTTTCATTTTTATTTGCTCAACGGAAATCGCTAATCCGCCTTTCCGCGGTTACAACTGAAACGTTCCACTTTTGAAAAGACGCCGTTGATCAGTACCTAGTGAGAACTGAGGGGCTAATAATGATGCTGATTTAGTGCTAACGTGTAAGGCAATCCTCACACGAGTATTTTCTCCTGCAAATATTTATGTGCAGATCACATCCAGACCCTGAACACCTTTTTATTAGATCACATAAAGAGTTTTTAAT